TCCCTTGCATCACGGTTTTGATAATTATTTTGGAATTCCACATACTCATGCAGATTGTCCGTGTGAAAAGTGTTTTTTTCCAGATGATAATTGCACATCCCAAGATGGCTGTAATTATTCACACGCTCCGTGTCAACTAATGCTTGGAGATGAAATAATTGAGCAACCCGTTGATTTGATAAAGTTAGCGGAGCGTCAAGCTAGAGCAGCGAGAAGTTGGATTCGGGAATATGCTTGTACCAGAACTCCCTTTTTTCTCATGTATGCTTTCTTACATACTCATATACCCAATTTCGCAGGAAAAAGATTTCGGAATACAACTCTAGGCGGTGAATACACTGACTCATTAGCGGAATTAGATTGGCAAGTAGGAGAAGTGATGGATGAATTGAAGAAGAGTGGAGTAATTAACAATACGTTAGTCATTGTAACTTCTGATAATGGGTAAGACTAAATTATTATACGTTTTATGTTACCCACACAACAGGGACGGATCCAAGATTTTTTCTTTTTTGTGGGAAGGGGAAACAACAATTTCAGAAGGTTTAAATCAACACCTAGGCCTATACCTCAGCCCCATCATGACCTGGGAGTATGGTCCCCATATAAAGGCCTATATGACATCAGGTCCATTATTTAATTCGTTATCACATATGAACAACAACTACTAAGCACTTACATTTGATTATGTTTTTGTATTCTTGTTAGAGCGGCCTTGGGGGCTGTAACAAAGGGCGGGTTTTCCGGAGTGTTAAGGTGTGGAAAAGGTTCGACTTTTGAGGGCGGAGTTCGTGCGCCTACTGTAGCTTTTTGGCAAGGCCGTATCTCTAGCGGAATATCAACCGAATTCTTGAGTCAACTAGACATCTGGCCAACGCTGAGAAGTTTAAGTGGTTCCTCTCCAGATGATTTTAACGTCATTCTGGATGGGTTCGATTTCTCAGATGTACTATTCAGAAATGAAAAGGTAGGCTGCATTTATTATAAACATAATTTATGAATCGTTCATTGTTTGGTTTTAATACATTTCCTTTATCTCTTTTCAGAAACAATTTCCAAACTGCAATGAATATTGTAACTGTAAATGATATACCATTACATTGGCTTTTTAGCGTTTTTCAAAAACTAAAATTGTTAACCCTTTGTACAGAAGACAAACTGTGGTGATGGTTTTGACAATATCCTAGAATGAATAAAGAAAAATAAAAACGGAATTCGTGATTAAATTCTATAAATCAAAGCATTCGATCAAACCATGCCCACTTGCGCAGTGGTAAAATCCTACTTAACGGAGGAGGCCAGTCGAATAGAAAACTGGTAAATAGGCATACTCGACAAAACAGAATGGCTGCATATTTACCGCGATACACGCTGTGTAATTAAGTTGCTTCGGCTTGTGGTAGTATGGATTTTTCGTACAAAAATATTTTCATCCATCCAGTTTTTGAAGTCTATTAGCCTACAATTATTTTTTGACTTCATGAGGGTAAATATTGCTGTTAAACTGACCAACAGCCATGTTTGTTTTGGTCACGTGGATAACTTAATGCTGATTAACGCACTCCGGTTTACGTTAATTTCCGTGGTCAATGAAGTCTATTTACGAACCAGTCGAATGAAAATAAAACTCACAGAAACTCGAAGTCAACGAAATGAACCAGTCGAATAAGCCAATTGACACCATTAAATTTTCAGAAGAAATGATCAAAAAAAAGTTCATGGTTACGGAAATTCAATATTTTATTTTCGAGAATAATCTAAAACGTATTTAGGCAGCAGCCAAAAAATAATGAGCCTTAATACGACGGGTAATTAAATTATTTCCTTGAGGGTATACTGCAGTTTCGCTTATCAGGCACGGCCTGTGTAATGTTGGTATTTGGCAAAGGGTGGAGGTATGCTCTCTACGGAGTGACTGCTCTAGTTTGTGTAAATATTTCATAAGTTTTTTGTTATATGTTTAATCTTTACAGAGTACAAGGTCATCCATGCTGTATTATCATACGAAGCCTGATCCAAGATTTGGACCGTATGCAGTTCGTAACGAACGATATAAAGCGCATTTTATTGTCGACTGTGAAGAAGCATGCGAAAGAAGTACTTCGCAATCGGATTGCACCTCTACCTTCCACGATCCTCCACTTCTCTACGATCTCCTTCTTGACCCGGAAGAGCGCCTTGATTTGAGTAAATTTGAGGAATTTCAGCAAATTGTTCAAGATATGACAAACCTTCGGCTTCAAGAATCGCGTAAAGTTCAATTCGCAAAAAGCGTTCTTAAGGCAACAGACGAGGATGTACAGCTATGTTGTGATCCCGGATGTCAACCCTTCCCTTCCTGTTGTCAATGTGCATCTAACTATACGGAGGAAATGTTTCCCTTAAACAGGGCATGTCATCTAGAGTGTTAAATGCAATGGACCATTCCGCTGCCTGCCCTCTTGACATATGTCCCCGTGTGTTTGTGCTGCATTTTCCATTTGTTTATTATATATTTGTCTCGATAAAAGGTTCCTAGATTTCTAAAGAAGCCATTGCTAGCCATAGTTCTATAACTAAAAAAGAAAGAAATTATAATCCACATTTGCCTTGATGTTTCATTCAGAACAGTTGATTAGTTTTGAAATATCTGGTCTGGGACGTTTTCATTAAAACGGTCCTCATTTCCACACCCTACTAAGGGTCGTAGCCATTAGGTTTCAACCTGACCACAGACCACAAATAAATTAATTAGGTTTCGAATTAGAAAAAAGGCTACATTCCACCTGTATGTTTAGACTCAACCTATCTATTATTGACATAACTGAGGAACCACAAGTCTGTGAACTCTGGGGTGAATGGTTAATGATACTTTAAAATTATTTATACATTTACATTTCTCTTTAGTATAGGGCCTAGGATTTATAATGATTGATTAAGAAACTAGGATGCATTTTTCTACAAGGCCGCGGCCCAGCCGTGCCAGGGACCAACATACCAAAACCTGGAAAGAGGTTTTGAACATGACGATTATGTCAATGTTCTGATGCTATACAATTATTTGACATCATTATCTGTTCTGTCAGTGACAAAATTTCATTGTAAAGTATACAAATTAAATAGTATTTAATTAAAGAAATAATATCGTACACTTGTGTTTTTCGCCGACAATTGGTGATTAGGACATTTTCTTTTCCTACCATAATTTAACCATAATCCAAAACATATATCTTCTGGCGGAGATAATAACAATATAATAATAATAATAATAATAATAATAATAATAATAATAATAATAATAATAAATGATAATAATAATGATAATAATGATAGTAAAAATATTAATAATAATATTAATAATAATAATAATAATAATAATATAATATATAATATTTATATAGTGCATAATGTTAACAATATCAAAGCGCTTAACAACAACATAAACATAAGCGTTAACAATATCAAAGCGCTTAACAACAACATAAACATAAGGAAGGACACACACGACACACGCACACACATGTGTGTGCTATTGCAATACCCTTCCCGCTCCTTTGAAAAGGCGAGGGTATTTATAAATATTTCCTATTTAAATTTCATAACGGAAAAGTAAAGTACTGTACAATATATAACGCTTCAGTTTATGTATTCATAACTCAGATCCAAACCGTAAACGAATTCAGTAATGTCAATAGGCCTATATTTTGAGTTAATGGAATTCCGATTATAAACCCAATAATTATGCTGGTAGTAAATTGACAGCAAACGTCCTTTAAAAACATTTTCATAGTTTGTTTATATCGATGTAATAATAACATTTTGGATATATTTCTTAGTTTATAATTACATACACAATAAAATGTTATTGTTTTTTTTAAGGTGTGTAGAGGATATGGCTGGTAGAGGGGCGGGAATAGTTTGCATTCTGGTGCGATTAAAAAAAGAGATGTATTACCTTGCTAATTTATTAATACTAATGGACCTTTCCGGGGTGTCAATAAAACAAAAACAACTGACCAATCACAACAGGGCCTGGAATACGCGCAAGTCTAACAAGCACACATGTGTCCAACAAACACGTGTTTGCGTATGTTTTACGCTGTCGTGCTGTGGGAACTAAGCGACAATATCCAAATGGGTGGGGCTAAGGAGAAAGGTCCATTGCGGTTGTATTAGTTTCCATCAATGTGTGTTGAGATCCGTTTATTGTACTGTTACAAGCCATACACTGATCCCTCGAGTAGACAAAGTCTTAAACGCACAGCGCGGATACAAATATAATACTGTCTCATCAGGTGATGTATAATATAAATTGTAATATTGACGATTTTAAATTCATTTTTAGTTTCAGTATTTATCAATAGGCCTACATCAAACTATAAATTTGTCAAAGATCTGCAAATCTACGTTATGCATGTTATATAAAATATGGTACAAAATATAATTACTTCTTGTTTAGATTTAAATGGCTAGACTGACTGGTCTCAGTATCATCGTTCTATTGTCGTCTGCATTTTGGTGTGACTCCAGTAAGCCTAACATAGTCATTTTTGTTGGTGATGACGTGGGATTTGCAGATGTTCAAGCATTTGGAAATCCGTTGTCGTACACACCAAATTTAGATGCGTTACTAAGAGATGGATTAAAACTGACGCAATTCTATAGTGCGTCTCCAATATGCAGTCCGTCAAGGTAGGTAAAATTCTACGTTTACCCCATCCATTTGGTATTTTACTAAGGTCCCAAAGAATGACATAGTAAAAGTATGTAAACGCGTATCTGTGGGTCGTGCGAGTGTACCTCACCCGAATCAGATGACTAGTTGTAAATCTTGACTCTGAAATGGTTCATTACGCTGATGTTTTCATGACACGACAGACATCCAAACGGTTCTAAACACCAATTGAAGAAAAAGTTTCGTCACAAAAAAAAAACATGTGGGTCTAATTCTGGCTGTTTAATTACGTTTACATTATCTCAGTTTTTTAACCGAGTTCCGATCACCGTTTCTACAACAATTA